TTATATGAAATGGCAACGTTTATTCACCCTGTTTCAAATTTAATCTTTTCGCAGGCGATACCTTCAAAAACAGCCAAAAAAACAAAAAGAAACTCAAACCAAAGTAAAAAATTATTTCGATGATTCTTCTTCTTTATTCACATTATCGACACATCATCAATTAACTCATAATTCCCAAACTAATCTAAATAATGACGAGCAAAATCTTTAATTAAAAAAAAAAAACGAAAAACATCAGCAAAATATTACAAGCAACTGAAGAATAAAGGTGTAAAATAATAACGTATATAATTGAAATAGTATTTAGTTTGAAAGCTTGTTCTAGATTAATCATTAAACTAAAAAGAAACTGGTTTTTTTTTTCACAAATAATTAGAGGAAAATTTGATTAAAATTATTAATAAATTTATAAGGACGGATTTTTTTATTGTTATGCTAATAAACTTGCATAAAGGTCTTATCTGCGTAGCAACTGGTTCCCATTACACATGATCCAGGTTGCAAGAATTGGTGAGGTTAAAACCAGTTAAGAAATTGGCTTAGTTCGAAATTATCACGTTAGTTACAACTTGTAATCACATTATACATGTCTGTGTACCCTACTACCACTATGGCTTATTTTATAATCTGCATCATTGTCATGCAGAAATACAAGCTTAGAGTTTTCTTACAACTGATAGCTCAATTTTTTTAGACGTTCTGCCACTCTTTTATTAAAACACAGATACGATATGGATTACTTCGTAAATTTAAGAAATAAGATAAAAAAGATATCACCTAATAGAGCGCAACCTACTGATGCCGAGCAATTAGCAAAGTTTCGTGAATCATGGAACTATATCGAAGTGAGTTGTTCGAGTTATTTTGGTGTTGATTTGTTCAAAACCGCATGACAGACTTCTGTCAGGTCACAAGGCGAAATGTTAACTAGTGGCTATCATCATAAATAGTCACAATTTAATAACGAGGAAAAAAAAAAACAGCTTCCCGATGACGTGAAACAGTCCGACATTCCATTACATCTCCAAGAAATGGTGAATATTCTTGTTGACGAAGGTTTGCGACTCGAGGACGTGAATACAGGTCTCTGCAGAGAAGAATTTTTGAAAAGCAAAATTCTCGACAAATTGGTTAAACTTGCTACTAACGATGTTCCAAAAGGAATTTGTGGCGAAATTATCCGGACTATTGGTTCTATGATTAATTTATTAGATGATCGGTTTTTAGTTCATAATGCCGTTCATCAACCGACTGTCTCCCTTATGATTAATTTATTGGATGATCGGTTCTTAGTTGCTAATACCGTTCATCAGGCGAATGTTTCTCTTTTGCAAGAAAAATATGAAAAATATGATGAAGATCTGGCTGATTTAATGTATAAAATATGTTCCAAAATTCATGAGTTTCCCGA